TATATATTTGAATAGGCCTATGTGTTGTATGTCGTATTTCTACAGAGGCGATATGAAAAGAAATATTGCACAATAAAACTTTACGTACTAATCCATCCATTGTTCTGTCCATGTAATACTCATCGCCAACAGAACTTTCATTGTAACATTAATGAATGCATTTTTCCTAATGTTAATCTGTGCCGCAAGTTGTCTGTCCATTGCATTGCTCTGATCTTCGCCATCTACTTTCCTTCTGACTCGGCTTTGTTCTTGTTGTGTTGCTGTTATTTCCGCGGTTTTTTTTCTGTGCGGCCCACTCGGGCAGGTGGGCGAACCTGAGCTGCGCCCAATAATAGCCACCAGTACGGTAGCCAGTACCTCGACTTCAAGCCACCTTCAACAGAGTGAACAACCTTTTCCGGGGTAACTTCTCTTTTCGTAGGCTAAGTTCCCGGACTAAACCAGCCGGAACTCCGAACCAGTAGTAACTTTACTTAATTATTTTAACGCATGTTATCTCTTTCTACGAAAGTTTTACATGCTACATAGAAATGCATGTCATTCAATAACTTACATCTGTTTATATGACATACCGAAACAAAGTGAACTTGCAGTTTGTTTGTGTGGACGATACAGAGAGGATGAAAGTAGTAATGCATGATATTTTCTGTAGTGTTCGGAAAATCCAATTTTACTTGGACGCAACCAATGAAAGCTCAGACATGTGGTTAGTTGATACTAAATTTTGCAACGAGTTTTTCATATTTCAAATGAAAACCTTTAAGTGGAAGATTACACACTACTTACTTAAAGTTATACTCATAGAGATTAGAGCACTATAAACGGAAAAATCTGAACAGCATAAGTATATAGCCTTGATATGGTATATGCCATACTGATTTACAATGAATATATCTCAAGCAGAAGTATTCACTCGTCAATAGGAAGCTCCTCTATTTCCGTCGAGGCATGTCTAGTTGTTGCGAGAGAAATTTCTGCACTATCACTAAACACAGATATACAATCAAAATATATTTATCAAACATAAAGCTGCTACAGGAAGTGTTCGCTGTTGTGAGCCCGTCTGTTTGTTTTCTCCTCGTTCTAGGTCTTTTCGGCTTACAAATAAAAGCCCAGTTGGAAAAAAGATCTATATAATACACTCCCTTGTTTGCATCGACGCTATGAGCATGTTTCGGCAACTTCTCCCAGATAATGGTCAAAACAATTAGTCACGCTAACACTTCTAATAGCCGCTAGACGCTCGTATCGCCGCTGATCGAATCACAGCATTAGAGGTCGTTCGAAAAAAGACAGAGCGCCCTTAATTTTAAAATGATGTAACTAACTCCACACTGAATTTTCCATGTCGCCAATTTTCAGAGTGAGCCTTTCGTATCTTGGCATAGCGTGTCTGCTCCTCATTATAGTGGTGGTCATGATATTTGGTCTGATGCTCGTCGCACTGAGACGTCGCCATCGGAATCGGACCGGATTGCCAAGAGCCCCGCTGGATAATGAAGTCCAAACTAGGCACTCCCAGTAATATGCGGCCTATTTTCATCGTCTGTGTATGCTCAAGGGTAGTGCCTTTTCGTACTTGCCTATATATATATCGGCCCAGGTTGTTACAGTCGATTTTCCAAAACGGACGCATCAGCCTCTCGCTATAAAGTTAACGCATCTTAGTTCTTTGAATAGCTCCAGTATGTATAAAATCTTATTATCTTATATCACATGAGCGACGATATATGCATCGATGGACGGCACGAAGGTTTTATCAAGCACGACTTACTGCTTATATCTGTAACCATCATCACTACGCCTGTTTCGTGGTTATGAAATACCGAGTCTAAGGGACAGCGCCTACCTACAACAACAACAACGAATAACCAGGGCGGCCAATAGAAAACCCGTGACGCCCGGGGCGTACAGTTTAAAGAAGCGCCTATGTCAGACGAACTCATGCAACATGTCAAGAAATTACAAACCGATTTTTAAGGCGTGAAACCGCACCGACACTGTCTGCACTCAGACATGATCTACAAGTAAGTCGATGCGGACTGGCCAACTGTGTTAGAGGTCCTTCATACTAGTCGTAACTAAACAGACAATTTTTCCGCATGTAGCAAACTGGACGTCTGCTCAGCTGAAAATCGCTAGAGAGCTTTTAGAAAATCGTCAAGCGGTCAAACCAAAAACAAATGAGCTTCATTAACGGATTGATGCCGTTATCACGTTTGACGTGAACGAAATCGAAGATACGGTAGTCTTATAAAGAACGTTCTGTTGAGTGACTCGTTATTAACATCGAACGGCCTATTGCTACACCCTACGATAGGCCGCGACTGATTCGGAGTGCGGTTCATATAGAGAAAGGCGTGGAAAGATAATAATTTAGATACTTTCACCAGTCGTAGTGATACGATATATAAATATGCCATTAGCAACGCAGTACAGTGTCTCCAGCTACGCTTGCTACGACAACCATTGTAATAGTATTTATTTATAGCTTATAGGAACATCCGTCTAGTGAGGAGACCTAGCAAAAAATCCAGCTTGGTTGCCCTGAGGTGTGGTCGCTTTTCTGCCGTATCACGTCCAATGGGAAGTTCGTTCCTGCCCACTCGAGCTCTGTTTTTTTTCAACGCAAATGGCAGTACCGTAGCGAAACGTGTTTAATCGGCCTAACGTTTCGAGTGCCGAAATCGTAATTGGTAAATTGTTTCCGAATGATTCTTCGTGGCATTTAGCTGTGCTGCTATGGCACAAATGAGTCGACGCGGGGTGAGACGACGGATGTTGAAACTGTATATGGAGACGCGTACAAAGCAATCACGATAGGGCTAGTTAGCTGGCCATCGATGCCGAACGATACCGTTTCCGTACGATGTGAGATTGAATAGCGATGTTGTTGATGGCTTTAAACATACCGTGTGGAATATTTTTTACTTTCAGGTTTTATCCCTTCTCTCGCTGAGACAAGCAAACATAAAAGTTAGGAGAAAATCAAACTGGTAGTAAGTCTGTGATATGTTAATCGCTGCACCGTAATTCATTCTAAAAGTTAGCGTTCAGCATAGGTCATTTCAACTTATAGAGCAACAACCGTGTAGTTGTGATCTAATTATTATATATTTTCTATTTTGATGAAAACGAAAAATTCAATAAAAGCCAAATGTCGTGATGTACATACACATGCGTTGTATATGAGGCGACCCGTAGGGGGAACACACATCTGAATCGTGCTTCTTATTTGCAGTCGCTTTTTCATGTGACGGTCACAGTATATGGAAAATAACGCTCGAACAACCGAGCGGACAGCCTGTTCCCGACGGCCATTGGACGTTCTGGCTAACCGCACTATGTAAAGTCTGCTACTAGAAAAAGGTCAGCGAGAGCCAGAAAAACAGCACGCTCCGCTGTGTAACAGTCTTTACAGGTGTAGATATTCAAAACGTTCTCTCTACGCTGACTCGACATCATGTTAAAAATGTAAAGACGTAAGCGTCGTAACGTACTGTCAACTTCTATTAAACCACAACAAATCGTGCTCTAAGTAGGATCGGTTACCAAAGAAGGACTACGTTTTTCACAGTAGTTGAAGCTCGATTGAGCTATTATTGGACAGCGGAGGCGCGAGAGGTTGAAAAGCAAGCCGAGGAAGAAGCGTGCACTATATTAGGAATTTCCGCATGTCCATCTTTGATCATTTCTCTCGAACATTGCTAACATTAGAAGTGAGCGCTGTTCCAAGCATACCCTCATCGTATGTACGATTGTTTAGCTGTAAACCGTTAAATCACTCAATGTCCAAGGATGTTGTAAACTTCTCCTTGCTAAACCAAGCACTACATCCTCCAGGAGCCTCTGCAAGCAATCAAGTCGACGATGCCGATCTGTTCCGAAAAGCGTTGTCTTGCTGCGATGGCTTTGATACGAAGCCGAAAGAAAAATGGGCCCGTCGAATAGTGCACGTGCAATGCTGTGCTAGAAAATATGTTTTGTTTTCCCTTGGGTTGAGATGAATTTAACTGAGTCAGAGGTACGATGTGGTGAATTTACTCATTCTATTTTAGAACATTAAGCCAGAGCTAGTTTCGAAGTAACGCACAAGATACTAACAGGAATCTATCATCTCAATGCACAGGAGCTCGCAGTAGATCTGAAGAGTGGCCAATTCGACTCGTGTGGACCATTCGTCGCTATCATCAGCCAACCACGATGTTTATATAGAAACAATGAGGAGACTTCATGACTGCATCGAACTCACAGTGCGGCCCCGAATCATCAATTGTATCTTACTCCACGAACGAGTTTTGCATGAAGAACTGCGAATGCAAGCACAAGTTCGGCCATTGGCACTTACCTAACAAAAAATTAAAAACGCTTGCTTCGTGCAACCGCGATTCGTCAGCTGTTGATCCCAGTTAATCAATGGTTGTACGGTGTCACTCACAGCAACTATACTAAGCTACCTCGAACAACTTTTGACGACTGTCGTCAAGCATCCTTCTGCCCTGAAAAGCGTCGGGACCGGCGTCGGTAAGGATCACCACCACCAACAAAAGACCGAACGCAACATTTGAAAAATATCAAAGGAAGAACGAAGAAAATGAAGCTTCTAAGCACTGGAAGACAATATGCCTGGTTAGCAATCACCAGATATCGCCTAGCTCGCTAAAGCCTGGAACGTATTGACACAGGTATTAGCGATCGCTGATTAAACCCATTCGCTCTTCATCTACTTCGCGAAACGTCTCACTGGAACCACTTCACCGAGGAAATATAAACTCGAAAATGATTCGGACAACTCAGCCATTGTTTATTGCACTGGCTATGACCATTAGCGACACTGTTGTCACAAGTCTAACGATCACTAAACTAGTGAGTGTGTCGGGCGAATTTTACCCTCTTTCACATTAACAAACTTTTATAGGCTTAATAATATATAATAGTCATTTCTTTATGATAATTAATGAAAAATATATAGGCTATGTGACGCCAATGACAAATGATCCTGAATTTTACCTGGCCAAGAATACCAAGCAACGACAAGTTTTACTATCATGTATACGTATATATATATATATGTATATATATATATATATATATATACACACATATACACACATACAGACACACACACACACACACACACATGCACACTATGTATAATATCGTATCGTTATAATATAAGAAATTCTTCAGGCTGCCATTTTGTCGACATGTGCTGCCCTCCTAGCTTACCTGGCTGCCAAATGCTATTCAACCAATTACTAGTGATTTACTAACTTTATCCAGTATCACGTCGAGACAGAGCAAGCTTTTACATCACATGTTATGTAAAAGAGGCGACAAATCGTTCAACTAACTCGGGTGATGTCTACTGTATTCTTGTTCGCTCTGACTATATGATATGCATACATGGCGCGGATCACTTCTTACTTCAAAAAACGTAAGCTCCATAATTACTGATCGTATTTGCTGGGCTGACGTTGCTTTGATCATCCACTTAAGAGAAAGACGCACCTGAAAAAAATCTTACCATAGTGAAATTATGATTTTTTAGGATGCCTGTGGCCTTCAGGAAAATGTCGTCTTTAAAGTCGATGAAAAAGATGCAACAAGCGCATCGATAATAACATGAGAAAATAAAATTACAAAACAAATCTTACAGAGATAATTGGAGCAATACAAGATAGTAGTAAATTATTAATACGATATTTTACTGTATATTTATGAGATGGGTAACTGTACACTAGTCTATGTACGCGTAACCCTGTTGCAATGTATAATATAATATATAAAGGAGTTATTTTCTTAGTATAATTACTGCTACGATCTAACTAAGCTAGTATCTCTTGTCTCTAGTCTTGCGCACGTTCAAAACATGTTCCTAATGTTTAGCATCGACGCTTCACAGACACGACCAGTTCAAAGCGACTCCGAGACGATAAGAACGTCCGTTCAGCCACGTGTGTGGGCTATCTGTGTACAGACCTGGGTCGTTCACGAAATATACTAGACTGAATTATTAATGAAGAGTACCGAATCCGAAAGTGATTTAAACAAGACGCTGCTAAATGACCATATAACGAGCGAACAGCCATCATTGAAAATATAATTTACTAATATACGACAAGTGTAAATATAGCCAAGCGAAAAAGAACTTAAATAGGCTGTAATATATATGCGAGCAAAAATAAACGATAAGACCTTCCGCAACGTCCACCTCTCGTTACTAATACCGGTCGAAATATACTGATTTGATAGGAAAATCCGCATCTTGAGGCTCGAAAAGCCTAGCGAGATCATACAAATACGTCATACGTGACAGGGATTTACTATCAGATCAAACGAAAGGTTCAGATAGTTCTTGTGGAGTGTTCGAAACGATCGCGCATCGCAATCGCTTCTGGCCGAGCACTCTGGCAGAGAAGTCCGAAATGATGATTAAGCGGAATTGTGATCTAGAAATCGTTCCCGCATTTGGTGTGATCATAGAAGCACGCATGGAGCTACAGTTATTACGTCTAGAAAAATTTGGAAGCACCAGTGCAAAAAAATTAAAGGAAGGCGGTACACTACGGAAAAGGACGAATTTAGAAGAGTCTCCGTATCGTGGCCTCTTAGTGATCGTAGAGTGAGTATTTGGGCCTATTTTATTCGATCAACGATCGTGATCGTTAAAGGAGCTCACGTTCTCATAGTCCTTCATTCTATTTTTAATTTACATGAGAAAATATGAGGAAAATATTCCTCTTGTACCAGTGACACTTCGAACAAACACCACCAGGTCCTTATAATTTTTTTTTCAATTTATTTATTTACAATCCATTCGTCGGTCATTCGTTCATGTTTTATGCCAAAATTACCTTCATTCTTATTATCACCTTTAGCATTTTCGTTCTCCCAACTCTTGTTTTGCTGTCACTCGATGTATCACCACATGACATTCGTGTATATATGTATATATATATATATACATACATATCTATTACAACACTTGTGTTTTTCTCTATCTCACAATTCTAACTACCAAGTTTGCCTATCGTGTATAAGTCCCGTTTGTTTCATGCATTGATGTATGTTCAGCTTTACCCTCTTATTATTCTAACTTCAACCTTCTTCACAGCTAAGTTCTCTCCGCTGATTCGGGTTTAGCTTTAGCTTCCGTCACCCTCTACCTGGAGCGTTTATTTCTAGCTTGATTACAATGACTTCGATCTATGATGCATATGCCATAGTCCTGTTCTCAGTCGTAATGTCCTTTTAATCTTTGCCATCGTTACCATCAATTAGCCGTTCTTGTCTAAATTTCGATTCTAACATTTCTGTCTTTCGTTGCCGGCGTGACACTGTGATAACTAGCTTTTTACGATCATGTGTTTGTACGGGCTTCGCTACGTCTTTGTGACGGATTTTTGTTTTCATTTTTCAAAGGGAACATTTCGGTTATAACCTGTGTTCGTACGCGTGTCCTTAATTAACAAGCATTGTTGAGTTTTGTATGAGAAAAAAGGCGACTCTTCTAATGTTTTCTTACTCGAATTAATAAATAATGATAGCCTATAGAGGAAATTACTCCCAAAACAAGCCACTGATAGAAAATATAGCTCGTTTTTAATAACAACTCTGTCGTCAATTGCCGTTAAACGTATGATGGCCGCTAACTTTGCTATACACGCACACTTCGAAAAAAATTAACGCCTTAATTAAGCACGTTAACTTATCGTTGGTGTTTCTATCTCCTTTAGCTAAGTGGACATTCTTTCTCATGCATATGCTACTATTCCTGTCATGCGTGAGTGCCTTCCAGACTCTTCATGTGACGGTGTACTTTTTCTGCGCCTATTATACATGATCAGTATCGTGAATTAACTTTTCATCGTCGTTGTGGCAATCATAGTCAACGTTGACGAATCGAACTAGTTATCTTGTCAGATTTTTCCCTGTCCCTGTAATCCACGTATTATCGGTCATGAAGGAGAAACGAGTAAACAATGAACAATAACGGTCACAATTTTTTCAGAACTCCTGCTATCCCGAACACGGATGCTATATATGTCCGCTTCCAAGTCCTTTTGCCTGTCCATGGCTAGCTACGCTTTTTGGCCTATTCCTCTAAAGCCTTACCCCATCTCTATTGTACCCTCTTACCGCAACAAGCAACGGGATCAGCGAAGCCTGAAATCGTAAAGCGCTTCCGAATTTGTCCGAGAAGGTGCGACAACCACTTCCTAACGTCTTGCTCTCTACCTCACTCAATAGGGCCAGAATACAATAGTTGTATTCCTAGTAGGTTGGTTATTGTTGAAATTGACATGGTAGTAGTAATAGTAGTAGTGGTCATTTCGAATTTCCACCTACGTGGGTCATGGTCTAATCAGTCTATTTGGGTCAAACGGCCATCCCATGAAATGTGCACTTTACAATCCTACACAACGTTCAAACCGTAATCCGTACTCAGCCTACAAACAAATAGAGCGAAACGAACCGCTCTCACAGCCTTCGCATGACGGTGCATCACTACTGCTCCCGCGCTTGCTACTAACGACATCAAAGTAATCAGAGATCAGGTGAAGGTCGGTCTCCTCCGTCTCTTCCAATACCGCCGAACCTCAGCAACCCATCTTATTCATTATTCCTATGCCACCAATTGAAAGCTATCTTTCGTTCTTTGTCCATTGTCACTGAGATGTCAGTGTGTACATACTCTCGTTGCTTGCTCTCCCGCCGATAGTCTGAGCTAAATACCTACAAGGGCGGTGTCGAAACGCCTAAAAACTGCTACCACCCGTGAGTATAATTCAATCGATGATATCGCAATAATATTGTTTCGCGTTTGTTTCGCGCCAAGCATCACCTGTAGTCAAATGGAACCAGCTTTCTAGTCAAAACGGAGGTTGGCAGTTTGTGTGTGCGTGTTTATGAAGAGTACGCTTCCTAAATATCCAATGGTATTGTTGTTTATCGACCCACTGTTATTACTGACCATATTTCCATGATGATCGTCCGTAGGCGCTCGTACTGCATTGATTCCTTTTTTCGGACATGCTCTCGGTACGGAAACCTCTCATTGGACGTTCGTTTAGTTTCGTAAACAAGTGTTGAGTACTTAAGCAATTCGCAGATGGGTTCAGTGCGGAGCTCATGTGTCTTGTGTAACTGCGCCGCTTGTGAGCGGTCTTAAAAATTTAAAGTACATGAGAAGCTCGATATGCGACAATTTGTGAGAACAATCGATAGAATTAACGAAAACAAACTTCTAGATAAAAACTAGTAACTAACTATCTAGTAGAATAAGCCTAATGCCCAAGCAAGCTGATCTGCGGCTGCCACATCTGGGAATAGATTTCAGCAATACTGCATGAATGAACTAATGTTAGAACTCGTTGTACCCGAACTCCGTATTCTAAACTCTCCAATTGGATATAATTCTGTTTCGTTGGTCAAACGTTCATTATCTGAATCGGACCTTTACGTTACAGATTGTTGTGACCCGGTCGAGGTGGGAACGTCTCATAATAACTGACATCCAGTACGATTCAGTATACGATATAATTAGCTAACTTTAGCTCAGTCGGCAAATCACAATGATGCTAGTTCCACAGCACCTGGCAGGCATCGTTGGATTAGCAAAACAGCGTTCACAGTATATTCATAAATGTATTGCTCGCTATGTTTGTTAATAAACAAAACAGACACACAAAGCTTTAACAAATTGGTCTGGTTCGATGGCTGGGCCACAAATCAATAGGTACACGGATTTGGTCGCGACACACTCCAGCACTGCGCCAACTCAAAGATGGGTTGCTCCATAGCTTTACCACTGCCTGAATGGTTGATTGACTAAAAATGAAAAACATTTCATTAGAACTATTAGCTCAGGTCTTTGCCGTTATCGTTAATGCTAGTTAGCATATTGTATGCCAAGTCTACAATTCGTTCTTTTCCGCATAATTATCATTATTATAATCTTCATAATTATATCGTCAACTTACAAATTCAAATCGTTGTAGTATTCAACAAGTTTTTGCCACTCCTCTAGCTATACAGGCAAACAGACATGTACTCTAGTGATATTCCGTATTGGCTTCTATCCCTCATTGAGTGGATGAATTAACATGCACTTACATCATTTACATAGATGTCATTGACATACACATTATATAACACATAAATACGGCAGCCCTCGATATACTCCCACTAGATATGGATGTATATTACTATCGTCATCATCTAACAGCTGAAGGCCAAGTGCACGACGATCGGCGACCCAGACGCCCTAAGAACGTAGCTGTTCACGCGGACACCGAATAACTAACCTGGTAACCCTGAAACACTAGAACTCTCACGCACTGAACTGCGGTGTGCCGCACCAATGGTCCATGCTTAGGGCAGCCCACTCCGCGCGTTCTATACTTCAAGCTAGGTCACGACTATCCGAAAATGTCTGAAGAGTACTGTGACGTCAGGACACCAAAAGACTTGATTATCCGTGATGAAGATTTCGAAGGTGAAAGGCTTCAACTTATAAAGCGTTTTGTGCTTAATAACTTTTTTGTAGCTTACTCAATCGGTACATAAACGTTTAACTAAAGAACGCATCGTCCCAAAAGTCAATCTGGCACCCTGTAACTTTGCAAACTGTAAAGTTCAATGACTCTTTTTTCTGACAACCTATGCTCGTACTCACCGATGCATTTATTCTTGTTCTGCGGTGGACCCGCCTTAGACAATCAGAGAGAGATAACTTGTAATAAATTTAATGATTTTATTTATAAACTATTTAATCATTTTTGTCCATAAACGAAAAGTCAGCGAAGTGACGTTAACTTCTATACGTGTCAGTCCGAATCTAATGCAGATAGCTACACAGGATTCTCTGCGTACGAAATACCGTTAGCCTACAAAGTGATGGTCCTCACAACCACATCCGCGTTTGCTCGGATTTCGCTTGCACGTTTAAAATACATACACATTTGATTCAATCCGTGTCATTGATAAATCACACTTAAGCTATGCGACCCTCTAATAACCTGGCTCTTTTGTTGTTGCTCAAAGTTTCGGCTTAGGCAACAGGTCGAAAGTCGCTCATCACTTACTTTCGGGATACAAATAAGACGGTCGCTATTACTTAATCACGATTTGCTAAATCGACTGAAATAGTCCTGCATGCACGACGTATTTATTATTTATCCGGTTCGTTTCTGCACGGCATTCGTAAAAAAACGTCCGTCCGATTTACGAACTAAAGTCCAGGAGACGTTTCGGTGCGAAATTGGCTGTGAGTCCGTACCTTTCCCCACACGCTTATACATAGCAGCATTTTTGTTTACTACCGCTGAGTGAACGAGGACGGCTGCGCGCCAATTTTGAACAACGCTAGCTACCATCCTATTAGACAACCCGATATCCATAACTACCACACAGGTGTCATTTAAAATTTTCGCTTACCCATGTTTATATGTGTGCTTAAGCCTAATAGGCGTCGCGTCTCGAAGTATAGCCGGCACACAAAAACTGTAAATCTGACAGTGTGCCCCTAGTGTCTTTTCATCGTGTTAACCAGTCTCTTCTTCCACCAGACCAAACATCCGTTTTGATGATCGTTATCTTTGGATAGAGCATATTCAGTATTCGAATTCTTCCGAATATCGCGCGTTCACGCATGCTACAACGATGAGGCTTTATTTCGAAGAACTCGATCTAAGAAGGACATCACAACCAGCACTGGGTTAGCTATTCGATGCGGATCTGAAAATGTCGTTTCTTCTTTGCTCAACTGCAAGTTTTCCTCATGTTGATAGTTGCTCCCTAACTGCTTGGAAAAAATATTTACGCGCGTCCTTGCGCCGAGCAAGGAATCCATGGACTCACGTTTCAATGTGTTACCTTTAACATCATACATATTCACAATATTAGCCTGTACGTAGGATTAGTATGGTGAAATGAGGCAGTGGCCCAGTAAAGTTAAGACTTGTTAAGGAGGTTTGTAGTAAGTCCATTACATGTGGTTATGACGGCCTAATTACATATGGTGGTAAGCTGATGCATATCCGCTTAATAGGAGACGCACATGTTCGGGTCGTTTGTTGAGCGGGCACTCGCAGAAACGTTGTGCAGTTTCCTTTGCATTTGCCGAACATCAACTCGTAGTGTCTTTGTCTGTTCTCCTGTTGCATACATCGCAGGAGATCCTCAAAGTATCCTTTGCTGAGCTCGATCGAAACACCACTTTCAACTTTCTACCAAACAACAATAACTTCAACCGATCCATTTCATTCAGTGAAGCCCTGATCAGCGCTCTGACGACATTATTGATTGGAGAACCGTCATTTCCTGGTCGTGAAGATGTTTGCACTTGATTTTAGCTCACATTGTATTTCGTATACGTACGTTGACATATGGACACGCGCACGCACATCCTAATGAGGAGTATTCGTGCTTAGTGGTGTAACAACTGAGCAGTTCTGTTCGATCTATGTATTGTCTGACTGTGTACTGACATGTTATCGTTCTGTATTATTGGTTGGTTCGGTCGCTTACCCCCGTTTGCCGCCAGGAGAACTGTTGAGCATTACTTTCGCTCAGTTTAAGGCTTCTCATTGCTCTTCGGCTTCTGCGGCCGTCATCACGCTTGCTTGTTTTTGATGTTGTGCTTGCTATTATTGCTGAATTGTGTGTGTCCTTAGTAACATTTATATCTTTTCATGTTTGTTTGACACTAGTTTAAGTTTACTTGGATCTATCTATAATATTAATTATAATAATGCATTATTTCTTTGTTATTGTGTGACTTTTGACTAAACACCGCTAACAACACTTCTTCTTCGGCCGGTTGAGATATGTCCGATTGATTTGGATCTTGTTGCCCTTTTGACTTGGCTGGTTCTGTAGAAGTTGTTCCTACGGTGAAAATAGAAACGGATTACGAATCAGGCGGAATATAACAGGAATAAAAACGGCGTAGCATCTATTTTAAAACGATTTTTGTTTCATTATCATTGACGTATTTTATCCCAGAATGATATCTGTTTTTGCTAGTCATATTTAGGAAATGAGGGTAGATGGACCCTGGCCTCAATCGACAGCAAGAATGAAACTACAGCTTGAACGGTCATATTTGATCTACCTTTTTGCTGGCAAGCACCATTCTCGTGATGGCATTAAACATTTCCTCGACGTTAAGGTTGTCCTTGGCTGACGTCTCGAACAACTTAATATTCATCCGATCCGCAAAAGCTTGGGCATCTTCAGTGACAACAACCTTTCGCTGAGGGTCGTCGTTCTTATTTCCAACTGCTCAAATGAAGCATAAAATGAACATGGCAATAAACATCTATGGCATAAAATAAATAAATCACACGGTTGGATAGTACGATAGGTGAGGTGGACATATTTGAAGGGATGAAGCGACCAATCACAGCCATTCCTACCGCCCAAATCCGCCAGCAACAATAGAAATGGCTGATTTCCGTGTTGATGGTTAATGATTAATTAGCTGCGAGTGAATCAAAGTCAATAAGCATTAAATTTGTATTTTTATCAAAAAATTTCGGCTAAAAATATATTACCAAGTATTCGATTGACGACGTCGCAATTTTGGTCAATTTCATGGAGCCATCGTTTTACGTTGGCAAAGCTTTCTCCATTTGTTACATCATAGACGACAACGACTCCATGGGTTCCTCTGAAATATACAAGATACCTCGACCGTTAATTTTCTCGATATAAAATCCTACTCAGACTGCAATACGAGGATACTTTTGATTTTTTTAGGATGGTTTCTCATTCAGATGTGTATGTGAAATAGCTACGTAAAAAATGGCTTACATAGCGCCTTGTTTATTATTTCCTGGAAACAACAATAGCACCTGGAGAGACAGACAGCCAATAGGATTATCTTTAAAACAAGGTGTACAAACCTGTAGTACGTCGACGTGATCGTACGAAAGCGCTCCTGGCCTGCAGTATCCCATATTTGCAATTTAACCCGCTCCCCGTCTATTTCCAGAGTTCGGATCTTGAAATCGACTCCGATAGTCGTGATGTAATTGCCTATAGCAGGACATTAGCATGGGAAGTAATTGTTAAACCTAATAATTAAGGCAAGCTGTAACACTTTTTCCTGTACACGAAGCTCACTTACTTAGGGTGCACGGTATGTACACACAAACAGAACGTTAACTTTAAATAAAAATTCACATAAGTAGTAATAAAAGAGGATGATATATATCACAATTGTATCTAGAGGCTTCTCTAATAATGCTATAAGTATATATCAGATGGTTTTATGAGGTTAGCCTTTTGCCATTGTTGCCAAGGGCATAACAGCTCGTTAAGCTGAGAAAATGTAGGACTTGTTGTAGTTATGAAGGCATCGCGTTTTCCGGCATGATCTCAATTATACCCTAGTATGTGAATTTTTGAAAAAACCGCCAACAACTACGAGCATAGAAATAGCTACTAGTAACAGCCTGGGCGAATCGCAAAACAATTAACAGTCTCATAGTCGGCTGCAACCATTGCCCTTACCAGAAAATGTGTTGTCAGCAAATCGTAACAGAAGACTGCTTTTACCCACACCTGAAAAGAAACAAGACAAGTTAGAATAAAGCAAATTCATGTTTCGCGCATCAGTGGTTTTCGAACATGAATATACAGGAACCAACTTTCATTATTTTTGTCAGCCGATATCCTTCATGAAATAAACACGGCTTGAAAAGAATCCTTCATCGCCATCGTCAGTATAGGCGATAAATTTATCGATGAACTTGGATCTTTTTCGACGTATCATGAAGTGATTTTTCTTGTGAAGGCATCAATATTTGTTCATATCTATGTTCTAAAGTCCATAACACAGTTTTTTTATCGGGTCCTGACGTCGTCGCGCACCACAGAGCATCGCTATCTTCGATAAACGCACTAAAATACATACAAGTACATTTGTTGTAGATAGACACGCTTTTGCGTAGAAAATATATTGCATACGCGATATTCATAATAGTTTCTTTCATAGAGTTATTAAACTCAAAATCAGTCCCTTCGTGATAACAGATTTTGATGCCTCTAAAAGACTGGGACTTAGTACAAGAGTTCAGCTATGACTGGCGAACGTTCATTTCAAACCATAACTCCACAGTCCCCAACGATTACCATCTAAGTAAATCTCTGAGATTACACGTAGATCAGTTAGTACAATAACAGGTCTACTACGTATATGATATTACAGTTCTGATCAGACACAATGACATCGTGGATATTTGTCCGCTGCTAGCAGTCATCGTCCTGGTCATCTAGGAAAAAGGTAAACTAGCTAAAGGTTTAAAATATTGTAAGCTTGTATATTTATTTACTGTACAATACGAACCACTAAACGGGTACTGCTATGCTCCAATCCCAAACGCATTATAGATTTGTCTCTATGAAACTACCATGCGATGGAAACGACAGAACACAACTATAATGTATTCGTTTTATGACAAGACATACATATAGGAAGTAATTTTTAGTGTTTCTAAATGATTGCAAGGTAAATTATAAACGGCAAAAAAAAAACCCGAACAGTTAACGCTTTTCCGCCTATGACACTCTAGCCATGGCATCATTACAGATCGTGACTAGATTCTCGTGTGCACCTTAACGTAACAAGGAAGATTAGGACAAAGTCCGATGCAATTCGATCAAAACTAAGCAAAATGCATGTACCATAAAACCGCGAAACTGGGCTACAACGAATCATGGGTCTAGCATTACGTGCGCACGCTCAAAATGTCTAACTGCATAGATTTACACCCACTAGGATACAGCCTACTGTTTAACCTTGCCGCAAAGTAGGCCTATACTGCGTAGACTCCGAAAGTTCAATCTCTCCGTTTATGTGTGTAGAGTGAGGCGAAAGTAGTCTCAATAATTTGAGTGTTTATTGAAGTTACAACTAGTCTGATAGTTACTATTCGTAGAATGAAGGTTTTCGAACTGTCCGAAGAGGTCTTTGCCCCAACTTGTATAACAGATAACTCTATAATGCCACAGAAAATTCAATGAATGCTGAACACTCGACCTATGGCTAGCATATAATGCGGTTATGCGTACCAGAACTACTGAACAGTATATAAAAGCGTGGGCATGTCGCGGGCTAAAAGTAGTAGGTGTTGCTTAGTCCTCATAGTAAACATTCGCAGATAACGCCCGCGACACTATGGACGTATGCACAAAATGAGATCATTCACGAGTCATGTCTCGTGCCTAGTGGGTCCTTTCTTAAACAATCTATCGCTGTAACGTTCGGTTTCACTATTCGATTAATATGCGACCAGGCGTCTACACTGCGTAAACTTCCAAGACCTACCCAAGTAATTTGTAGATTTGAGCAACGCCGTAGATTGTCGATAAATTCGAACCCAAACCCATTTTAAAGAGTTTTGAATGTGGAATATTGTGTTCGCACATTTCAACCAAACGTGTTAAAATACTTTACAGATGCTGTTATACCTAAGCTCTGAGGGAACTGTCACGTAATCTGTTTCATTTAGCTTGAGGTGCCCAAATTTGACAACAAAGAGAGCGTGACTGTGTAGTGAGATGTTTTTCATTTTGTGAACGCAGCCTACAGGTTCGCTAACCCCTTAAGGGATAGCGTGTTTTGTGGCTAATTTACTTTACTTAAATTTAAATTAACAGAGTCACGTCGTCTTAGTTTATACTATATAAATACAACGGATGTCATTTACAGGTTTCGATACGAACACAACAGCTGTAAAAAATTACGCAAAACGTACGAATCGAAAATTGACGGTGTGTCATGATCATCTATGCGTGCATTTGTGCCTGTAACACGTTTCTTTTTTAGCTGATATTTGTGTTTCTCTTGTCAAATCAAATACATTAAATTGCCGTCCTTTTTATAAGTGAATTATGCACAGTCTGATAGTAGAATTTCATCTTTTAAGCGCCAGACCCGCATAATAGAATCACAAGGTTTTGGCTTATTTGGAAGTCAATCGTGAGGAACAAGTTTAGATCCTGTTTTCTTGAAAACAAAACAAAATATCTGGCAGAGGAAGAGCTCGAGAACAATTAAATACATTCTAAAAACACTTGAATAGATGCCGCTTAAACGTATTGTCTACCAAGACACGTGTACCATTTATTTCGACCCTTACTTCATTTAACAACGAACTCACAATGGCTTGAGAAAGCCATTTAGCGGATTCCAGAAGCTGACCAAGTTTAATTTATATACTGTTATTACAGCACTTAGCTAAAGAGAAAAGAATATTAAAATTATGTATAAATTGATAAAAAATAACCGAAAACGACCGGTGGTGGGAACGTTTTACATGACAAACCGAAATACGTTAGCTTATATTCTGGACGGTGTTCCCCAGGCACGCCCGTAAAATCGCATCTTGTGATTTGTAATCTACTGAGAGGGTTCTCCTAACAACCTGCATGCACAACAATTCTATTGTTACTAGTGGTGACAAATACGGAAAAACCGAAACACTATGTTAGAAGAATGAGTATTCCCAATCTAATACACTAGTAAAATTTCACTGAAGATATTTGACTACATTATTAACCAATGAAGTTCCAGTTCAATGATGTTCGATCGCTAATTCTTTGAAGACACCATTGCATGAGTTTACAGCGAAGTGTGTAACTGAGAGTTCATCTAGTAGCGAAGTTCCTTACGACTAGACCTTCGGTGAATTGCATTTGAGCAGTTTACCAGAAAATAACAATCAACTTCGTGATAAAAGGCCAAATCCGAAGCTCAGGAGCAAAAACACCTCGCAAGCGATCGGAAACGCAACACGCTTTGAGCTTCCGAAGCAATAACTGAAGCTCGTGACCTAAGCGTCGCAGTCTGCGAGGCGGCCTCCAAGCATCTCCACCGAGCCTATATAAGCAAAATTTCCCCCCAGGCTATTAGCTGAACACCATGAGCCTTCCAACCACAAGGCTATATAAAGATAAACAATATCGAAAAGGCATCCACTAGACTAATATTTTGGTGCTCATAACGGAATTAACTTCGTTGGTTATTGTTATTACTACAAATAATATATTTCGAGACGAGGAAATAAGCACAGAGTATCAAACAAGCATCTTTTTTCGACATAAAAAGCCTGTGCGATTTTTTCAGCTGCCAGGATATATCCCAGGACAGAAGATCAAAACACGGATTGCTTTGCAAATGGAAAAAGAGTACGTAAGTTATATTTGACATAAATGATCAATTATGGTCATGGTGGAATCAAATATGGAAGTAATGATATTCCTACTTATAGGAACAGAGTTACCGCTCTATAATTGTTCACGTTTGTTGAAAGGAAACGTCGAGACAAAATCTCTTATACGATACTTTTGAGCATATTGGTCTACCAATCGATATTTCAGCAAAAATGAATACGAAAAAGCTTGCACATATGCTATTCAAAATAGTCAAACAAACATATTTAAGCTAATGTTTTGCTTATTAGGAACACATTCAATACTCAATAACAATCAATCTATATTACTTAAATGTAACTTAATAAATTATAAGTTCACCTGACTGCGTTGAAAAACGGTTGAAAAAAGAATATTTTTCATTTATCTATTCTAAAGGTACTTCTTTAATTAGTTATGAACTGGCCAATGGTATTACACATCGATTTTTTATGGCCTTTATGGCCAAGACCACTGCGAATATACATGAAATATTAGGAAAAATGTATGTGATGCACCGGCATCGATTAATCTTGCGATGGTAAACAGTCTATCATCCTCTGTTTTATCGGCTGCATGAAGCTATATAGTACGCTAAAAAAACGTTACGTATGTATGTCTGGTAGACATTTTTACTTAACCGCAAACCATATTTCGAAATGGAACAGCAGTAACATTTTCCTGACTATTGTTTATTTCAGTATTCGCGTTAGGGCTATACAGGATCATTCCATCCTATACATTCCATCAAAAATAGTCATCTATTTTTATGTGGCTATTCTGTATTAGCTGGATACCGAACACATTGTTGCTGTGTTATCTTAATTGTCGTTTTCTTACGAAATTTGTCACAGTCTTTTAAAGGATCTACTGTGACCAAGTTCACAGCAGAAAATGCCACTGTCGCTTTTGTACTAAGGTGATTTTGACCTGCGCTAAGGACACTTCATAACGATTGTAATAATAGCGTTTCGACTTAGGACACATCGTGATAATAGAATTATCGGATGTCGGATGAATCTTCTAGCTTCGAGAACCATCATCGCATTCGTAGTGAATAGGTCAGCAAACAAGGGTAGAAGCTAAGCTAGTGTAGCTGAGATAATCCAGTACAAGTAAACAACAACTCATTTCAACTGATATTTCATATCAGTCTTTAGCCAGCGTAGAGTCTCTCAGAATCGTCGTCAGCAACGGGTGGGCGATCGATCGGATCTGCCAACCGGCCTATTGGAATCTCGGATAGCTGCAATTTTGCCCCAGCGGAATCGACAATGATTTACACACCAAGACCCGCACTCGTAATCATGCCGAATAATCGCAGCAGGAGCCAATGCACTGTTCTGTTAGGTATATCGTTTTATCCGCCGTTGGCCTGGCCGGTCTAGGTAGGTTAGGTCTAAACAGGCTTGAGAGCCGTAATTCGACCCGCCAGCTTTCCTATGTGGTGAGCGATACATATCCCCTTGCACGATCGATGCCACTTTGCTAAGATCGCTGGAGGAATGGGTGCCGAATTGATCACAATTTGTGTAATAGATGGGTCATTTCTAGCAAAAGTGACTCCTGCTCATCTGGGGCGCACGGGGTGTCACATATACAGCGACTCATTGTCCAACATTCCGTCACGACACAAACATATGGCGAACGATCATGTATCCGGATAAGATAAGAAGAACTTATAAGAAACTCAAGAAGTCATAAGAAGACTAGTTCAACCTGGTGGATCTCACGCGTCTTCTTTTTCATAGTCGGTCTTCAACTCACTCTTACCCCTTTTTTTTAACTCGTCTAGTATCAAGCTGTCATGTGCCATTTCCGTAGTTTTTGCCGCCTTCTTTCCTTTGTTTATATTATTATAGTTTGCTGCGTGTGGATTTTGTTGTCTTTGGAATGGTATAAACTAGTAGCAGATTTCTCAGTTAAGCAAAACATTTATTTATACACATCTCTTGATTGTATGTTTCTACTGTATTAAAGCTAACAGGGCCCAATCTTACCCAAAATTTACTGAAGAAGATCCTGATTTAGTCCTAAATAATTAATATAATATGACGATACCCAAATGTTATTCTAATAACTGATATTTCCTGACTATAAGTACCAGATAATTAATAACAGTTTAGTTAGTGAAAATCTAGCATCGTTGATGAAATTATCGACTTTTAGCTTCGTTACTGTTCCTCCTAACTGCCGCCAAATCAACTCGACCTATACTCCCTTCATGGCCCTAAGCCGATCCTAAATCGCCCTAATCATAAACGTTAATTAACCAGCGTCGAAGTCAACGAGCCAAACACGTTATCGCTGTCGCAGAATCAGCAACTGCCACACCGTTCTTTCTTGCCTGAACGGTAAAGGCCATCGACCGCGTGGTCACTCCACGTCGACCCTGGCCCAGGAGCTAGAAGTACATTGTACTACGAAGCGTATGCAGAATGATGAAAATCTTAGACAGGACATCAAGCTTCTTGTAATTATGCTAATGACGTACGTAATAAGCTGTTGGCAGCGTTTAGTGTCACATCCGCATGATAGTACTTGGTCACCAGCTTGATTACGGCCACAGCGAGAGCGGCAGTCGGAGCAGTAATAATTCTCTCCTGCCTGGTACAACGGCGTTGGCACGCACGCACGCACGCACGCTTGCTTGTCGCCTCCGTTAGCCGCAGTCACCGTCATCACATCATAGTCACGGTGGCCGCTGCTGGTTGATCGTTGCATCGTGGATTCAGCAGCAGGCGATTATTGCTATTACCGCTAACTCTAGCTTGATATTAAGCTTCGATGACTTTCTCCGCCAAAAAACGCTGCTACTCTAGTCGCTCTAGCCACTAGTAAACCACTGCTCCCTGCCAGTGAGATATAGGCCTTTGATAGCGTCTAGTATGGCCACATTAAACGGAGACAAAGCTGCCAAGAACTCCAGATTCCGCCACCTCATACTCATAGGCTGGCGCAACCTAATGACATGTACGGTTAAAAACTGCTAAGCTAAGCTTTGTTTTTCGCTAGTTCTTTGACCCATTCACTTATTTGATTGCTGCTTCTGACGAGCATTTTTGGGATCTTTTTTTTGGCCAAAAAACATTTGGCCGATCCGCCGAATATTATGTGTCCGTCCACAGGCAAGTAGCGCAATCTGGCAGGTTCGCATTTCAATTTGAAACCTACCGCCTTCTGTTGAAAGACGCGTTCGGAGCTAAGAGAAAGGCGCGAAAACTCGAAAATTGACAGACGTATACTAACAAACGTCATTGCTCTCGTCGAGTGAGCGGAAAGGTAATGGCTCAGCCGACGGTTCCTCCTTACACAGAATCGTTTGAGCGTAATAAGAAAAGCCGCATCAGACGCACTGATTTGACACTCACTGACTGGCACTCGGTGAACATTTCCTTCCCGTCGGTAAAGCATGTCAGCCTAATGCAATAAGGGCATTCTACTTTGACGTAGAATGATATTTCATAAGTGTATGCTCAAGTAATCGCAATACGCACGCCACGAAAATAGCAGCGACTATGGCTGTCATGTTATATTATATGCAGGTAGAAATGGCATCAGTTGGATGAATGGTGACCACTTAAGGTGGCTCGTCCACCTTCGACAATACGACAGATAAAACGGACTGAAATGATAATTGAGGCATCTTGGTAAGGACAAGCTATAATAGAATATGTGTATTTTTTTTTGCTTATCATTTTTCGAGGAATAGCTAGTCAGGTTCAGATAGATACAACAACCAGAGATCGAATTCGTCGACACCCGTTACGACACGAGTCAGATAAACTACTCTTATTCTGCATCGTCTTTAATGCTTGTGGGACATAATGAATTAAAAAAAATTGCCAAGTTAACAAGCTTGTTCCCTTTATTCATTGTTTGATCACTAGAATCACGCATACAATAACAACAACAACGGACCGTAAGGTCCATTTTCTGCCTTTCAAACCAAAGCGTACAACCGAGAGCCACTACGCCAATTCGCTCTTATGTCTTCTGACGACGACGACTATTGCCTGTCCGACTGCTCCGAGCGTGTCGTTACTCCTTCGTTATTTGTCATCATCGCCAGCAGCTGACGTTTGTCTGAGGTAACCGTGTCTGTCTCCTTTTTAACCGATCCTATCGTTGGAGTCTCAACGTTTGATTAACGTTGCTCTTGGCGATTCGACGGCCCTTGCTGGTTCAGTCGCAGGCAGTGGTAGCTGTTTCCTGAGCGCCATGAAGACGTTTGACGCCTGCCGTCAGCGAGTGTTTCGTTTGCGGCAGCTTTTTCCGTCCGCGTTGCACTTATTCGAGTAGTGAACCATGGACAGCTGCGACAGCCGCAGCATTGGCCGGGGCAGCTGTTAAATGAGTCACTCTCACGTTGATGGTAGCGGAGGGTCGACGGAGACAAACGACTGCCGCTAAGAGGCAACGTAAAATACACATGATGATATAATACACGACAAACTCACGCTGCCGATGACACTCGTGGCCACCGAACATAAAGCGAAAAGCACGTTCGTGATGATAATACTTGAGGCCTGATGAAGGGGGATAGGGCAATCGTTTCGGTAGATGGGCGACGAGCAATCGGTGAACATCAGCGTGGTTTTGTGTTCGTTAATAACAAACGAAACCGTTCGATTGTAACGTCAAATTAAAAACGATCACCAGCAAAAACTATACAGGGAGCACCTCATACAGTAAGATAGGTATGTGTTGAAATTAACACTTATGTACGCGTAAAATAAAACGCACACAGACGCTCAGATTGCGTCGTTTGAAAGTTTACCGTTCGCCGCCGCGGTGGCGAGTACAGCCATTTAAACTTCTGAACTGAAAAGAATTCGCGAGTAAGGCGCTTGAAAAGGGTTTATACAATAGGCTCCGGACGGTATAAGAACGCAGGAGGGCGATCGTCTAAGGTAGCAGCTCATGGACGACTGAAATAAGCCACAATACAAACTTCAAATCTCATGCTAGATATAGACATTTTACCCCTGTGCATTTCTTTTGAACGCACGAACGCATAGATAACAGAATGCCTGATACTGTAAATGTCCATAATGCTTCTGTACGGGCAGCACCGTCGTTCATCATAGGAGCATTTCAGATCTTAGGCATCTTGAAAATCTGTCTTAACCGGGGTGACTGGACTTGGATTCCCCTGTTGTTCAAACAGCGTAAACACTTCACCTAGTGCCCATTTTTCCGGGGTAAACATTTATCTAAAGCGGCCGTGCATTTTCAGCTTTGCTGATAAAAGTTAAAAACAAAAATGACAATACGATACGTATATACACATAACAACGTACGTAATTACGTGTTTACTACGAATTATATGTCTATTCTTATTATGATGCTTACCGCTATCCCCGATGATAAGCAGCTTAAATAGATGATCGTACTCTCGATTCATGTTGCGATTTTTGTTGTTGTTGTTGTTGTCGTTATTGCTATGTCTGTAGCCGTTCTGGAGTCGACTACTATAGAATTGTTATTAATTGTAAGATTTCGAACAGCTGATACTCTTCTTTTTCTCTGGGTGAGAAAGACTAGCGGTACAGGTACGAAGCTCACAGATGCACCCACTCGGCTTGTCAACGCACTCCAGCTCTCGTCAGGCGCGAACTCAAGAACTTACTTGCGATGAATTCGTCCAAACGCTCGACGACGATCGCCCGGACACGACACACTATTAGCCTCAGCGAAGCTTAGTAGCGACAATGTCGACGAGAAACGCTATGATGATCGAACGGAGCGGTGATCCTTGAGTAGGCTCGAACAAGTTAGCTTCAGCGAGATAACCTTTCTGTAGATTTAAGCAACAGTTTTGGTATCAGGGCTAACTTGTGTGCTACGCTCGTTCGTCGCTGTTGCTAGTTCCTTCGTTTTAATTGCAGAAAGTGAGTTTCCTAGGTCAGTCTACCAACTAGGTCCGCGCCAACTGTAAGAGAACACAAAACAGTCTTACAATGCGAGTAAGCCAGGTCCCCCTATAATCGCCTCAGGCTGGGGTCTGGCGGAGGTCGTCGCCAAGACATTCGGCGACGTCAACATGAAAGATGAATGATGCCACCAACGAACGCAACCACTAAGCGATGCCCGCAACTCGGCAGTTAGCAGTTCCTACTGCCGTAGTGGGTTAAACACATTGGAACGGAGCTGTCTGCCTCAGAGGTTACGCTGACAGTGATAACTGGATAGAACAATCGTCCTGTGTTTGTTGTTGCCGCCGTTGGAAATTACTACTAACCGCAATAATTGAGGGATAGTGCCAAGAATTTCGCAAAAGCTTCGGTCGTTTGATGTTTGCTAGCCATTCACAAATTGCCAGTTTCGTATCGAATAATTTTTGCGAAAATGATGCATCCACTATACTCGTGCTTTTTGTATAAGCTTTGATTAATAAAGCTTGTTGGTTGTTGGCGTACCCCCTTATTTCTGTTCTCGTTAACGCAGACTTATTATTAAGACAAGCACTCGATCGCAAACACATCCACGATGAAACGGCGGAACTCGCTGGATCGAAGGCTGGTTCAAGTTCGGACTCGACGTCTGCGATTCGTATAGCCACAGTAGCCGTGTCGTTCTCAATCGACTTCAATTCCACTTTGTTTATCTTTGGGTTCTATTTCACCGACCTTTTAACCACTGCGATATAACAGCTGCTCAGCTATCCGCTGTTTCTTTCCCTCCCCACAGTACTGATAGCGCTGGTTCGATGTAGATATCGACGCACTCGCCTGCGTCACTTCTATGTTGTTCTTTTATCGTTGCTTCTGTTGCAACACCAGCAGCAGAAGCAGTATTTCACGGTACTGTTATCAATCGCTAGATGGAACAGCTGCAACAACGACGACAAAAATTGTTGTTGTGATGGCGGCGGCGGCGGCGGCGGCGGCGGCGGCGGTAACAACAACAGGTCGCCAATTAGTCGAGGCTAAACCAGTTGTCCTAGCCAGCTAGACGGTTAACTTGGATAGCCGGTTTGAACGAAGGCTGGCCGCGATTGCTACTACGGAAGTCGCACCAGTCGCTTGTCTACTGTTGCTAATATCAAGCGGTTCGTACACTTTGCTCCTACCTCTCCCAGTAACCAGTGGTCGGCGTAGTTCTAACTGTTCAATTCTGCTCGATACCACAAATGAACCCCTGCCAGTTCACTCGAGATGTATTTTCTCTTCTAGTCACCTGCTTTTCACTTATTCCACTGGTACACGACTGCACACGGGCACAAACATACATCGACACAGGCGTTCATTGAGCAGCACACACGAATCGACGGCAATCTCGTTCTCTGTTGCTTTCGTTTGCTATACTTTCCCTATAGCTCGCTCACAGTTCGCACTCGACTCGAGAGGAATCAATCCACAAGCGACAACGGCGCCATTAACAGCGATCGAAACAATTGTACGGCCAACCGAACCGAAATAAGCGGCTCCCGCTGACACTACAATTGAGTTACAATATAGAATAGCAATTGACCGCTTTGTTATAGGGCTGCCTATTTTCCTCAATGCACAATTCCCGGCCTGTTTGTTGTTGTTCGCTTTCGCCCGCTGTCGTGCGTGGAACCACTGAGGAACTCGTTACTCGTCGATCCCCTAGAATATCGCAGTAGACCACTTACAGTCCTGGCACGATAGGCATCGGACGGACGACCGAGGCTAATAATGGAGACGGCAGAAGTTAGCCGTATGAACAGCACTACCAGCAGTTACGGCAGCAGGAACACCACTCACAATAAAAATTAGAAGACGACGTTGGCGGCCGCAACGGTAGCGATCATCGAGGCAAACACTCGCCGATTTGCGACTGCGTCGGCGACCGCCGTTGCTATCGGTTTTACGGTTGACGTCATCTCCGGTTCAACCACTGCTAACGCCTCCGCTTGCGGCAGTACCATCATCGCCAACGAGACAGCATATACTCTCGTTCCTTTTCTCGAACCCAGCTTTTACGACAACCAGGGCAACTCGCAGCGCTTCTCGGTTAGTTGGCCAGAGTCGTCATCATCAAACGAGGAGGCGAGAACATACACCCAGAGCTCCTTTCCACTGTGGGTAGTTGCTTGGCGGGGTAGTATAACCCCAGTAGCAACTGGTTAGTTGCAGAAGAGTGAAACTCTTCCGTCTTCGATTATTATTGTCCCGCGCTACTTTGCCGTTATTTGCTGGTGTTGCTGCTGGTGGCGAGCAGAATACATTGAAATGATGCCGCTGATGATAGAGTTGTAGATACACATCCACCGCCCCTATGGCCAATCAAAGAAGAGCAGCCAATGAACGGCGCCAACGAGCCCGAGTATAGACGACGAACCCGAGCAACAGACAAACCGACTAGAGCGAGTGAATCCTCTGCTTACAGCCACTCGCAGCAGCAGCAGCGGCGGTAGTGGCGGCGGCGGTTTATCAATGTAGCTTTTAAAATACGCCTATGGAAAGTAGGAGGATACATCGCGCAATGATGCACGGGATTCCTACTGACCACGGAACAAACAAAGGCAACCGATCGAGCACCGCCGCCGGCAACAAGAGCCATCGTGGTTATACTAGAAGGAGCGGGTAAACAAGGCGTGGTCAGCGAGACGCAGACAGATTTGAATTCAAATTAATGGCGGGAGGGCAGACACTTTTTGGACGTTGACTGTATTATTTTCATGTCGGTTTGGTCGATTCGCGAATTTCGTCTGTATATACAGTGGTGTAATCGAACCAGAGACTCTGTGGACGTGGCGTTCAGACACTGTCTCGTCTAGTTCTATATATTTTTAAAAGGAGAGTGATCATGTGGCTACCCGAATTGGCATGTGTCCGCAAAGAAGGAAGAGAACTACACTTTTCACCTAGCTTTGTAGGTAATTGATTAGAAGTTTACCTGATAGGTCATTCAAGATCAGGCTTTGACACGAGTATTTTATAAAATACTTTTTAGCTGCTGAACAGCCGCTCGCATTTTGAATTGTAAAACATTTCCGCTTTCGTGTATCGTTGCAAATGGGTAATAGGTAATCTTCCTTAAAATTCTGATTCCTTAAGATTTCTATTCAGCCCTACGATTGCTGGCTGTATTTCTACGAAGCTTACCAAAAGCCTATATCGAATCATATGACGCATACGATATTGCGTAATGTATATGCGGCATATATATGATACGGCGAACCCGGAGATGGTTAGTGTTAAACGCCACGCTGAACGTATTTAAGTAAAATGTTCCATTTTCTTACGCAAGCAATTCAGTGCAAGGCTGGCTGGCCGGCTGAACACGTGAACGTGCTGCGAGGCAAAGCCCTATGGAGACCAAAATTGAATTCGTTAGATAGATTACAATGGGCCGTGATTGGGCGCAAGCCGATCAAGACTATGCATAGAAGTGTTTCGAACGACTTAGGCTCCGTATAAAAAAAATGCTAGACTCGAATGGCAGTTACATACAACACACCCATTTTTTAGCGGTGTGTCTGTCGGCACGTTCAGACGGTTCCGTTTAAACCTGATTTTCAAGTGGCTGTAGCTTATAAATAAGTAAGATTAAGGTCGTCGCAATTTAGGCCGGACATGTGCTGTACATAAGTGCACTTGAGACAAATTAGGTTGCTAGTAAAGGTAATGTGGATTGTCTTCTAAATTCACAATCTCATTAATGATCGAACGTTTTGCACCGCGTAGATGCTTTTTCTTCATAAGTTTGGTTTGATCGTTTCGTTCAATTATAGCCATATTTAAGATAAATACAGGTACAAAATACGATGGCACATAGAAACCAATTAAAAGTTTAAAAAAAATATATTAAATGGAGGACTAAAAACTGATTTTAGAGAAAACAGTGAACTTTCTTATTGAGGTACCATGGCACATATTATCTGAACAAGGCGGCCAAGAAAAGTCCTGTTCACCGTCGTTGCTTACTTGGGTAACCTCTCGGAGGGTCAGAGCCTTTCCGCCGTCCTAAGTGCTTTACTGACCGGCACTGAAGTACGTTCGAGCAATCGATGCTACCGCTAACGCTGATCCCACATATGAACGACGCCGGCTAAAGCTTATTGGAGTCGGTTGCTACTGACCAATCTATCTATTACTACCGGAGTAAGAATTGGCAGTATTATATTGGAACGGGACGTAGAAGGACTATCTGGGGGACTCACTTTAGCCATGCCGCCCTAGCGTGCACCAGGCCGGCGGTAATCCACTAAGCCCGGCACTCTGATCGGCCGTGGCTCTGACACCGACGACTTTGTCACTCATCATGAGCGAACAATTATAGAGGTCTCAACAACTCAGGACTTCTTTTCCCTTGTTTCTACCAACATCTCCTTGCAGCCTATGACGACCGCTGCCTACTGGCTATTAGTAGGACGGTTGGATAGTATACCTCTAGTTGGCCGGATATTCATTGTGACAGTGTAATTTTTGCGTCCGTTTAGCTCGACCACGCTACGTGGTGTAATATCTTCACTCTGCGCTCACTTTTTTTAAAATAATTTTTCGTAGCATGGCTTAAGAGGACAAAAAGCTTAAGAGGCCGAAACGGCTGACGGTATGGAGGTTGTCCTTTACAAACCCGGAGAAACCGAATGTGTATTGTCTTTTAAGGCCTGGATACCTGGAAGAACCGGGCGGCTACGCCAAAATTCAATGGGCAATGTGGTTCGAATCCATGAAGAAGTTCAAACGAAGTTGCGCCTAGAGCCTAGGCAAAGACCATCACTGAAGGCGCCACAGCGCATATTGGAGCGTGCCAAATACTCCTCGATGACTCAGAAATTCCTTTCAGTGCAGAGTGGCCAGGGAAATGGTCTGAAAAAATTGTACAGAAAGTTGACGATTCCGGCGAGCCGCGCACAAACCACCGGTCGTATGCTACCTAACTCAAAAAGCTTCATAACTGGCGGAGGGTCATAGGAAGCTATCTCTGGGTCAGGCGAAATGCATGGCACAGAGATTCCCTTACACAGATGCCTTGAGGTGTTGACATGCAGTGCCAAAGACAGTACACCTACCTGAGATTCGTCTTCTAGAGAATACTATAATATCTACACAAGCCAATGCCATTAGCTTCATCATTCATTAGCTTTTTCGAATTTTTCAACATACGTCCAAATTCATCACACAACTGAAATAGCTGTACACGTGCTGTTTTCGATACAGAGTACCGCAAGCCGGGTCCGGCCTAAACTGATGCTGCCTTTCACGTAAGTTGACTTATTCACTGATGATACACTTAATTTTCATCTCAGAGAAGATTAGAAAACGACCTGCTACTTCACTCTTCAGAGAACTGAGGATCAAAAAGGCACCGATGAAATATTTTAATTTTTTTTTTAGAAAGCGTCTGTTTAATTTTTATTGCATATCACATAGATCTAAGGTCTTCGTTTAATAATGACACGTTAGCCCATCATCATCAGAAATATATGACAGAGAACACAGTTGCATAAAGGATGAAAGGATTGCATGTGGATACGATTGCTGCTAGCGATGACAGAGTGTAACGGCAAAACGATTGTACAAGAATAGCTGGTGTTCAAGCGCAGTGAGGGCTCTACACCACAGGCTGGTACATTCTCAGTCTTTGTTCAGTATTGTTAAACGGTTTATACATTCAATAACAGTTGCCGGAGGTTTACAGTAATTACGGCTTCGAAATTCGATTGCTCATCCACGCATGTCATATGAGTAACTTCTAATGTCGATTTACTGCCTATGTGCTTCACTCTAACTAATCACGAAAGTAAAACACCGCGCATTTACTCAAACAAGTTTATTGTGAAATAGCTTGACATATAACGCTATATGGTATGATCAGCATCTCGCCCGTAACCCGTTCCACACACCCAACCCGTACCTCCCACAGTTCGGTCCCGAGCCCCGCACAAAGGACTACAGTTACTGGACATAAAACCATGGGCAACAACTGCAGCCCTTTTTAAATGGACGATGCCGCCAAAATCGGCCTGCCTGAAATGTTATTTGGCTTTCTCTGTTGTCACCGATCATCGCCCGCCATTTGTACGTGGATTCTAGTTTACCAAACCCCCCACCCCTCCCACGTCCATCCTAACGGCCCTCGCCTGTCTTTTTATGACAACCTGACCTTGGCGACAATATTGTTCTCATCATTATTGTTATTATTAATATTACTGTTGTATACTTATTGTTCTTATTTTTATTAATCTTATTATCATAATTATTTATCTGCATTATCAAGCAACACTTATTCCTTACAACTCAGACCTCGTTAATTATTTCACTCCGCAGGCTTTCACAAACAAGCTCCACTTACATGTCATCTCCTGCCTCCTGCCACTATTTTTCACTATTTTTTTTCCATTTTCACTACACGCATTTTTATTGTTGTTATCGTTGTAACTCTGTTTTACTGTAACTCATAACCTACCCCCAAGCAATGCTTTTTAATGGTAAGCTATCGGTAGCGATAGTCGGATTTTGAATGGACAGATGGCGCAATCGTGTTCCCTTAAACGTAACTTCGTGATCTGCTTAGCTGATAGCTGCACCTACCGTTTGCTTGCTTCCCATGTGGTTGTTATTTTCGCAAAAAAGGTCTCGGCCATCATCATAAAAACAATACGTACGTTGACAACGAGAATACATGCACATTTTACCCGATGTAAACATGTGGATAGTTATAGACGGCCTGCTCCTACTAATGGAGCGCATGAGCTGACGACGGTGCATGAAATGACCGAAGGGGAAACTCGTCGAAAAATCACTGTCACCGCGGGACACGCGGAGTGTAGTCGGTACACGAAAAAATTGAACTTTACGTCCAAATGAATTAGCATATTTTACAGGTAAACCAGTAAAACTGCTAAAAATTATTAGGTAACGGTTCTCTTTCTCTCTCTCTCTCTCTCTCTCTCTCTCTCTCTGTCTCTCTGTCTCTCTCTCTCTCTCTCTCTCTCTCGTGTGCAATTGAGGCGGACTCGAAGAAACTTCCGATTGACGAAGTTCGAAATCGTCTACACTGCAGCGATATCCCCATTAGTGGTCTTGGTGACATGATTAATTTCTGGATCATTATTATTGTTGTTATTATTTCTATTTTATTTTTTTGCCATTTGTATTTAGCCATCATTTTAATATCAATATATGCAACTACGAAGACGAATGGTTTACCGAACGAAGGCTCTGTCGATTGAAACGAAACATTAAGACACGGACGCGTCGTTGGACGCGTACAACTATTTAATGGGTTATCAACTGAATGGGCGGGCAGAAAAAATATCAGAGAGAAAAGGAATTAATATTGCTACGCACATGACGCCTTTGTCTTTTTCGTTACTTGCAGTACGTGTGTTGCTATTATTGATAATGTTATTGTTATTATTTCAATAGTCGCGTCCTTGGTCGCCACATTACGTTGATGTTGTTTGGCAGAGCCAACGTAGCAATCTGCTCCGACCACTGCCAACAAGTGGTCGAGGCTCATGCCTATTGAGCGGCTCAAAGGCCTGCTCACGAATGGATCGTGTTCAGAATTCAAGTGGAGTTCTTGCAAGCAATAATGGCTTCTTCACCGACGGCAGAGAGCACCGTAATAATAACATTTCCCTCGCCTTTTTCCAGTTCTTCCTTCATCTTTCTCGACAGCTCTTCGTCGGCGGGTACACGCAGATCATCACGAATGTCACCTTTGTCATCCATCAGGGACACGAATCCATCGTCGGAGATGTCGATCAGCTGTAAACGAGTTCAAAAGACTGTTACCGTGTGGCGGCTCAACTAAGGGTCATTCCTGCAGAACATGCTAATTAATAGCGCCTTTGAATGTGATCGCTAGACTTTTTGGATATCCTCCAAGCACGTGAATTACTATCTGAAGGTAGACATTGAAACGGAAACGACTCCCGGGTAGTAATATCTTTAATAATTTTCTCATACGGTACCTAATGATGAACCCTGTATGCAAACGGTTGAAGTCGAAGCGAGATAACGAACTCGTTCGTCCAGTCAGAATGCAGTTTTGCTTAGTATAGCATTGCAAAAAAAAAAACACTTCTTCACTTTTGGAATGAAGTCAGTGGGAAAAAATGCATGACAATCGCTGAAGACAAAAAACTGAGGAAACATAGGAAATTCGTTGGTTTTTTTCTTTTGTTGTTTTTATCAGAAATGTCTGCAAACGGTTGAGGCCAAGACAAAAATAGCTTGCCTGGCCAGTCAGATTGCATCATTTAATCTCAATATAGCACCAATATAGGAAGACCAGCATTTCCACTGTTAGGATGGAAAGCGGTGGCAAAACGGTGCCTATATTTTCTACTATAAGCACGTTACAGCATGCTGATACGTACGCAGCGCAAACAATCTTACAATTTCTTAGATATATGATGGTTGAGATTGGCTTTCGTTTCAAGTTGTTTGCAAATGGCTGAGACTAGGGTGAGATGGAACGGCTCCAGTCACAACGCACAATCTCTTTCTATGCGCAAGTCTAGAGAAAGACTGGCACTTTGTTCAATAGAAGTAAGCAGTGACAAATTGTGCATAGCCGATCTACACGTAAACAGCAGCTTATATCAGGTAATAGTAACAATAATAATAACCATCATAATTGTTATTTAGGGTACAGTATCACATTGAGGTGACCTGAACACTTTGGCGAGCGGATAGCCTCAAAGGGTTGATTAGGCTACAGCTGCTTTCAGTAACCCTGAAGGCTATTAGAAAATATGCTGAAGTAAAATTTTGAGATTCGTTTTCTCAGTCAGAATCCGCACACCATTATAATATTGCACCCAATCTGGGAGAAGAAATCGCCTACACGAACGAGAACTAAGTCAATAGCAACCGTGGCAATACATTTATTGCATATAGCAAACTACTGCACGTCTGATGACCTGAAGTTGATTAAGCAAACACTGGATTGTCCTTTTGAACAATAAAGCCAACAAAAAACCGAATACTAACCTGAAAATCGTTTCGGTTAACATTGGGCACATCAATGTTGTGCGTGGATGGACAGAGATCTTCGTACTTCTTCGACGTGAAAATATCAATGCCGACAAGGTGAACCTTGGCGTGTCCGTGCTTTCCTGTCTTTGAGGTGCTCATTTCCATGATCTTGCACGGGCGGCCCTTGAGCATCACGAATCCGTTCTTGCGTAGTGCCGAACACTGCATCGGATACGTGGATGAGGCGCCGGACCCACCGGTGTGGAACTCCACTTCTTCGCCCTCCATTCTCGTTCGGTCGTTTAGGTCGCTAGGCCGTGACCGCTGAACCTGTTGCACCAACTTCGCGGGCTTTCGAATCACGGCTAAAACTGTTACCAAGTGAAGCGTGAGTTACAGTTTGAAGACGCTAAGGTTAGCTTTGAGAGGCCGGTCTTGCCAAACTAGTGAAAGTTAAAGAAACAAATTGGTAAACACTAGTGAGAGCACGCCCTATCACGGGGTATTGAAAGTTGAAAACTCCTAAAACCGCGTGACCACCACCTTCTGGAAAATTCCGAGATTCTAGATCTTATTGGTCAAGTTATTCTCAAACTACTCGATTTACCCTAATCGATTAAAATCTAATATGTATCGGTCGAGATCAATGTTGGGGCTTGATCGGAGCGTGTACTATTCTTCCTGATTAAAAATCCTACTTTGTAAGCATAAAAGGTTTAACTGGCAAATTCCCTCTCTACTGCTCCCTTGTAGGCGTGCCACCATGACGTATACGCAAGAAAATACCAACCATGCTAACAGATTAAGTAAACGAAATATTAACATCGAGGTGTGGGAGCAATCACATCCGCCATGGAATTAAAATGACCGTTTTATAAACAAATGTCCAGCGACGAAAACGTGTTCGAAATTATGCCTCACTTAAACCCTCTTTCACGATGTCAACACCGTTGTGAGCATATACAATGCGTATTTGACGTTAAAAATTATTGCTATGAAACCAAAAAGGCGTTGCTTAGAGTCGGAGTTTCGAATAATTTCCCTTCTCAGTGCGTTTACGCTAGGGAATTGTACCATACATTTTCTATTAATCGATGCAAAGAGTCTACAACATACGCTTTAACGAGACACATAAAATGTATGTATCGAGAACTGCCACCCGGCTTCCACCTAAACCATTTGCAGCCTAGCTACAGAATAAGCGACTTCGTCAGCACGAAATGCCAGATAGACAAGCCCGAACGGGACTAATACCCTGGCGATTGCAGCACTCGCTGGGGCAGCTCAATCTCGCCGACTCGATATTAACAGATAGCAGCGTCGTATATCTCGAAACCAGAGCCAACGTCCCGTCGAAATGAAAAGCAGCTCCAGGTACTGCGGATCGTCCGCCAACACAGTCGTCGCAAAAATGCACGAGCGGGCTGGATCAATTATACACAAATGTCGAAGCGAAAAAACATAACACTAGCGAACGACTTTCAGAAGCAACAGCCAAAGCGATGTTGGAAAGAAGACACAGTGGAGAAGACCCACTTGGTACCATGAGTGGCGGCAGCAGCAGCAGTAGGCGACGACCATAGCTGTCGAGCTGCCGAACTCGTTGATCACTATCGCAGCTAAATCAATAGGCCTAAATCGACATGAATTCGCCAAGTGGAAAGACACTAACATGCCACCTGTGCTCTTGTACAACGCCACCTCATACGGCCCAGACACAGTCGCTCGACTGACGCACGACGTTGACAGCACGAAACGGTGAAAAATTACCACCAAAGTAACCTAGCCTACCTCCATGCGGCGCCGCGCTCTCCAGCGGCGAAAAGGTTCGCCGGAAGCGGCCTGTCCCATCGATGGCGACTTGGTTTCGGATTCCGGCCCCCTAATGTCGGCCACTGTCGCAGGTTCAAAGAAGGAAATTATGGTACGTTTTCTGTTTGGGTACGGTTTTTATTAAACACTGTATGGCCATTTGCCTACTTCATGTTCTGAAGTAAATTAGACTTTATTATCGCTTATTTTTCAATACCAACATAAAAATAACGCTATATCATGCGAGTGTTGCTTTCATTGTGCTTCAATGGTGGGACGGAAATCACGATGGTCCCAATAGGCGCAAAAGCACCAGTAGGTATCATTGTTTATTTCTCCCATTGTGCGACTGTGGCAGGAGTAGAACTGTTCCAGCAATGGTGGATGCAACAGGCTTGGTAGGAATGTATTTGAGAATATCAATATTATTTAACGTCTGTTATTTAATGTCGAGCAGTTACGTCTGAGGATAGTTGCATTGCATTTTTCTATGAAAATATTCGTCGTTTCCATTAGGTGCGACTAAATGTATTACCAACCAAATCTTTACGAGATTCAGTTTTAAACGCGTTTGTCTCTAGAATGTTTTCAGTAATTTATAGTACAAATGAGAGACAAAAATTGCTAAAAACACTGAATAACAAATATGTGAGCTTGAAATAAGTACAACTTCGTACCGATCTGAGAATTACTATTCTATAAATTTCTACTAGTCTATAAATTTCGCATGCGCATCAAACTCGTTTTTTTTTCACGCATTACATTCGTTTGTTTTTTTCGACATTATTTAAGTCAAAAGACCTTTTTAACTTTACTAAATATTAATTTTCTTGTGTTTTGCCTGAATATTTTAGGGATGCGGCGGCGCTGCTGCAAGTCCCTGGAAAGTCCTGCCATGCACGAAAGAGGATAACCTAAATGGCGTTGTATGCGAAAGTTCGTTCGCTATGCTCTTCCCAAAGTACCGTGAAAAATACCTTAAAGAAATTTGGCCTCTTGTTAAAAAGGCCCTTGGAGGTTTGTATCGAAAGGCATATTTCAATAGCCAAGTTAAAGGGGACATTTTCCTTTGGTGGAAAGAACAACTATTGTTGGGGAGTCAGGGTTGAAACGGACGCTTGAGTACCTAGTTTATTTGCGTAGTAAAGACTTTCCCTTCCCGGGATGCATATTAAAAACGTGCTTTCAGGACCGGACAGTTAGTGAGCTGTGAGAAGATTCGCTCTGCGGACATGGCTTCCTCAACATGTATATCCTCATTTGATCTGTGTAACTTCGCTTGTGAGTAATGCGAGTTGAATTTTATGTGGACATACATTCCTATTTCGTAATTGTTATCGGTTGTATCTGTTTGTAGAACACGGCATTGAAGCTGAATTGGATGTTATCGAGGGGAGCATGACAGTAAAGACGACAAGGTAACCTACCAAACTTCTTCTTGTTGAAGTATTGTAACATGTAATTATTTCGTAATACTGCATCGTAGGCTGAAGGCCGCTTGCTATACTTCTCTGCTTTTCCTATGAAACTAATTATATATAAAAAAAAATAATTGAGTACAACTATTTGCCACTTTGTTGACGATGGTTTACGTTTTTCTACTCCAGACTATCTAAACAGCATAGCTATATAAATGGTATAGTTCCTGTGACCGAGTCCGTTTAATTAAGAATTAAGCGAACGAATATATCGTTTCGCATATAATGATGATACAGGCCCTTGGCGTATGTGTGATATATAACCAGGCAAATGTGGGATCCCTACATGATTATCAAGGCGCGTGACCTTATCAAACTTATGGCTCGCAGTGTACCATTCGAACAGGCAGTTCGTATCCTTGAAGATGATATCGCATGCGATGTAATTAAAATTGGCGGAACGGTGCGGAGAAAAGAACGTTTCGTACGGCGTCGACAGCGTCTCGTAGGTTAGTGAAATACCAATGGTTTGTGACCGATACGTGAGCACGGAAACGTTCAGCTATAGCTGTAGAAAATTGGTGTCTTTGATTTATCCAGATAAAACAGTGGAGTTTAGTGAAAAAATTGCTTGAACAATCGCAGTCATTTTTTATAGTGTCAAATACTTCCAAGCTACGCTCGTTTTTGAGTTGAACCTTGATTTTCTCTAGCAACTTGGTAGGGTTCTTTGTTTCAATGAAGACTTCTTATGAAGAGTTGATTTTTTTTAGTTATAGTGTCTTTTTATTCAGTAGTAAGATTTGGTTTCGAAACTAATTTCAGTACATACAAAAATGCGTATCTGCTTTTTTAAGGTTCTTTTTGTGGTAATAAATAATTTCCTAAAATATTTGATTCATACTTATCTTACAGACCAATCATACCATGCTTCTCTTGGAAATTCCTAAGAAAAATTTATCATGTTAAACATCCTTAAAAAGTTCTAGAGATACTGAAACATTTGTCAAGAATCAATCGCGAATGTAAAATTTTAGCATATAGAAATTATGGCTGAACGTTAGCCACAGAAAGCAAAAAGAGTCAGTTTTTTAACTACGGTCAGCGGTGGGAAAAATGCATATGTTTTTTTTAAGATCAGCCATTCTGTCTAATGTATTTAGTCACCATCGACAATGCTTTCCATGGAAAATCAAAGTTAAACGGTAGCAGCTAAAACAAATCTGTCACCACAATGAAATAAGGTTTAAAATAATTTTTCATAACGGTTTATTTTTGCTGACACACTTTTCCTCCTCGTAATAGGACCAAACGGTGCAACACTCAAAGCCATTGAGATCTTGACTGGTTGTTATGTCCTTGTGCAGGGCAATACTGTTTCAACGCTTGGGCCTTTTAGAGGTCTCAAACAGGTAAGACAAATATTTCCGTATGTATTAATTATCCATAAAGCCTCATGAGGGTACGGATCCCTCAGAAAGCCTTTTCCCTCGTAGCAATAATGAGAACGTAAAAATGGCTTGCAGCGTCAAATTTGCGGAGCCCTCAACTTAATGAAACAATTCACTACTTATCAAACGCGGAATACTAACCAATTGTAAAGCGTTGCTTTTCCACGGTCCTCTTATACTTGTATCTTGACTGATTTCGACGGAGGTACGGGCAAAGGTCTACACAATCCAACGTCATAGCCGTTACAAGGTTTTAAGCACCCCATGCTACCCGAGAAATAAATACTCGATGCCCGATTCACTTGTATGCACAACGCGTACATCGGTGTACTCTATTCAATTAAATCACGGGAAAATGATTTTGACAATGAGAATTGCTATGTTTACTCACAGTCGTGTAATGCTGTAAGTGCTGTTTTCTGTGTGTTACATGATGAGATTCAGGTGCGCAAAATCGTTGAAGACTGTATGAACAACGTTCATCCGATATATCATATCAAGACGCTAATGATTAAACGCGAGTTAGCTAAAGATCCTCAGCTGGTCAACGAAAATTGGGACCGATTCCTGCCAAAGCTATCCAACAAGAATATCTCAAAGCGAAAGCAGCCCAAGAAAAAGCGTCTGAAGGGAGAATATACGCCGTTTCCGCCTGCACCGCCTCTGTCGAAGGTACGCAAGTCAGCGAAAACGTTTGAGCTTTATTTGGATAAGCTTGAATTTTGTACATAAAGCTATAGCTTCCGATGTGTAAAGTGGCTAGGACAGTAACACACGTTCTGGTGCGCGTTTTACATCTCTATTACAGATTGATAAGGAGTTGGAAACTGGCGAATACTTCTTAAAGGATACGGAGAAAAAACGTAAAAAGAAACGTGAGCAACTTGAGCGTCAGGCCGAGAAACAGGTGAGTCATGGAAAAGCGTTAATAAAACTATTTGTTTTTGACGCGGATCTGCATAGACATTATCCGTATCAATTCGTAGTGAGCTGCTACTGATGATCATAAAACCTAAATACTTAGAAAATTTTTAAAGTAGATTATTATTTTAAAGTAGGTTGCTTGCTAAGTGTTAAAGAAAAAATAGTTATCCTAACGAGATAAGAAAAATAAAAAAATCTTACGATAGCTATAATAGGTGTAAGCTATAACATTCCTACTTACTCTCCTCTAATTTTTAAAGAATAATTAGAGAGATACTTTCGTTGATATCGGGCAGATCTACTACAGAGCATTACTTACATGTCGAATTATTGATGTACTCATTGTAAAATTCGCTAAGAATACCCGTTAGGTTGCTCAAGCGAATTTAGCAGATTTTAACAGACGAAATGATAAATACTTTAATATATTATAAATACGAAATGAAAAAACTTGTAAGTGAAAGCTGGCTACCTTCAGCAGTAAGTGAAAATTTTTTAGTCTCGAAAATAGGTTGTCGGCAGTCCGGTCATTGTTCCTCAAGTGCTACAGGGCAACCGAAATTTATCAAAGACTGGGGAATACGTTCGAAGGTACAGCGCAAATGGTGCAAATGAACACCAAATATCGAAACTCGTGGGCCTAGAACGCATTGCCGCAATCAAAAACGCCTTTTATGAAAGGATGGCTTGGAGTCTTAGGGCTCTGTCGGATAAAACTGGCATTTCACAAGTGACGTGTTATAGAATTGTAACACAAATACTAGAAATTCGGATACTGAGTAAAAATGGGTTCCGTGAATTGACTCCACGTCAGTTGGAAAGTCGGGTTGTCTATATCGCCCGCAATTTGCGAACCATTAATTAACAACAACTCGCGTGGAGTATGCGGTCGCCATGGTGTAATCTATACCGCCAGAAAGGGACCAGGCGAGAAAATAGCGTCGTCCTAAAGAAATCGAGCGTAGTGGCAATACTATGTTGAAATGGACATCAGGATTATCCACTAGTGTGAAATATTCGCGATAGATATTCAGCTTGCCATCTCAAATCCCCCAAAAATCTGATGGACCATTGGCACCATCCTAATTCAAGTAGTTCAAAAGTTGTTCAATTTCAGAATCCAACGAACTCGCTTGTACATGTATATAGACACTATATACATATATATATATATATGTATATAGTATCTATATACATACACATATACATATATATATATATGTGTATGTATTTGACTTCAGTCTAATATTCTACGTCTGTGACGGCAGTGGTTGTAGTAATTAGTATCATATTGTACTACGTGTTTATTTTTTAATTGAAATTAAGGCATTTGCCAGATGCTTTCCAAATTTTAGCAAGCGAGCAAGCTAGCTATATGATTTCTAGCGTTCAACAAACTCGGAGTTATTTTTTTTTTTTAATAATATGGCGCTTCACTTATGGGGTTGTAATTAGTTCCAAATATTGGTTGGGTGCTGGGCCTTGGAGCACCGGAGAACCTGGCTATAGCTCAAATATGACGCTGCGCACGACCCAAAAAGGCTATCGGTTTAAAACTCGGCCTGACTGATACTATCCACAATGTTATTGTTTCTCTAAATGATTTTATTCTTAGCTTAAGTTGTACACATTTTTTTAAATATCTATCCTGTGACCTTGTAATTGCACCGCTGAATCCGTTTCTGAAATCCTAAAATGCGAACATACTCACTTTATTTTAAAGTGAGTAAGTTCGCATTTTTTATGTATATATATACACATGTATATATAGGCGTATATGTGCGTGTGTATATATATATATATATATATATATATACTCTTTTTCATAGATCGTTAGAAGTATCGATATAAGAATAATGCATAAGCGAACATTGGTGATTTATCTATTTTGTATTTTATTGTTTACAGCTTGAACGAGAGAAGCAGCGTATGAAATCGTTTGAGCCACCTAAGGAGCCTCCCGCCGTAAAGAACTATTAGAGTATATAACATCTCTGTATATGGTTATTTGATAGAAGATAAATACAATAAATGTACCAGTACTTACGCACAAATTTATGCAGTTTTTATATATATCAAGCATATCTACTATCAGTTTCAATGCAAACAAGATTAAATCGCTGTGAAAAGCAGCATAGAAATTATTTTACCAATTTTTTTTACGCTTACCTTACCACACCTTCCTTGCCGACATAATAGGCTTGCAATAAATTTATTTTTGCTTTATATGCCTACATGGTTTAACGTGTTCGTCATAGGGTCTATCAATAAAACAAACTGAGCACTTAATGAGGCCTACTGTGTCCTCCTGTCAGCTAAAACGCGCAGCTCATAACAGGAAGCTGGGGCACTAGAATGATAAAGAAAATTAGATCAAGAATGTAATCGAAATCATATGATTCTGTTTTGGAATATTGTCTTTTAACCGAACCTGCAAATCAATGTAATAATAATAAATTTCCTTTCTAGAAGTTACAAGTCTGTTTGTATAAACAGATGTTTGTATAAATTTTAGCAATTTGCATATGCTTAACCACGTCCATTCCAAAAACGTGCTGGTCGCAGGTACCCGGCGCTACTGACTACTCAATCAAAGTACACACTAAGTATATATATACCTTCTAGTTCTTACCCAATGAACATCAATTGCAAAGAGCAATAATATAGAATGATAGGGACAATATTTATTGCAATAGTAAACAAAGTCATTTTTGGGATAAAACAACGACTAAGGAAACGAAGTTAGCATACTTAAGTTCCACTTAAGAATTACCTTTCTGTTCCAATAAGTCTTCATTTGACAAGTGAATATTAATAAGCTTTGCCCTACAGTTACGTCAGTTATCAACTGCTGAGTAAATTATATATATAGTTAAATTCAGGGAGTGCCACTTCAGTGAGCTGTTCACACCTCTATGGAACATCATAAATAAAATAGTCGAACTGGTCATATTCTTCAGATGTTACTCTTCGTTTCATTGAACGAAGTCAGTTTTTCGAACATCGAAAAGTTTTCTAAATTATTCCGGACAAGCATTCATATTGACTGAGCCGGGCCGGGTAGTATCGTTTGCTGAAGACGTTTGCTTGTAAATATAAGCTCGTTTTCTACCTTGATTTTGATGATCCATAAATGCGATACGGGATCGCGCTACGAATTGGTAGATTTATAAACAACTGTAGGATAACGCTAAGTTGTTTCCTGCATCGACTGAAACCTACCAAATATATTTTCAGAGCTAGTACAACTCTAAAGTTGATGTTTACATGCTTCTAACTCAAAATACTGGGATCGGTGTAATGTGTTAGGCTTACCTACGTACACTAATTTTGCATCTGAAATAGTTTCAGACCAGAAGATCTGACGGATAGCAATCAACCGCAAAAGCGCTCTTGTAAAATGAGATCTTCTAATTCTGAAATTAGTTAATTATGTGTTATCGTTCTAGCTAGTCATCCATGCCAATATCCCTCTCGTGAATCAATTTTTAATCAGCTTAACTGATACGTACGCCTTACGTATAACCTATTCCGCTTGGCTTGCTTACATTGACATTGTTGTATAAAAATGTTTGGTTACCTAAAAAAAAAATGCTTATGTTTGAAGGTTGTGACTTTTCAAGATGTGCATTTAAGTTAATCGGCTATAATATGTTTGTCTAGCGACTCTTCAAAAACATCAAGGTCCCGCAAACAACTATATTTGCCAAAATCGCATTAAAATTGTGTTAATTTTTAGATATTCCGACCTTTTATGGTCGGCATACCTAAAAATCATAGTAGTTCAGAAATAAAATAATTTTTAATTATTAGAACGCAAGCATCTATTCTGCAAGAGCAAGCGGAGCACGAAGCAGGATAATCTGAGTTACTAAGAAATTAGTTCGACCAATAACTACCGCTAGCTGTTACGACTGCTGTTGTATTTTGCCTAATTTAGGCGCTAACTTATTACATTGTATAGGCGATGAGATAACGAACCCGTAAGTGTATTACGATACGATACGACAATAAAAAACTGCAAACTCGCGCCCTACACCAGCCTATATAACAAGAATATCAGGTAATAGGCGGTAGTTCTTTTATTAGGCAAACAGAGTCAAATTCCTTTACGCATACATACGATCACTCGAACAGAATGGTAACATAATACAGCAAAAGAAGATGCATACGGTTTTTTTAAGTTTGCACG